GGGGTGCGGGGGGCCCCCCCCTCGCGGAGACCCCGCCCTCCCTAGGCTCCCTCCTCCGCCCCCCCCACTCCACGCCGGCGCGGCCCCTCACCAGCTTCCAGCTGTCCGCGCTCCCGCCGCCACAGCGCCCCTCCCGGGGCCCGGGCTCCCCGGCCGAGTTCGCTCGGTCCGCAGCCGCTGCTCAGACAGCAGCTCCCGCTGCCGCCGCCGCCGCCGCCATGGCCCGGGCGCTGGGGCCCTACGTCACTTCCGCCTGCCCCTCCACTCCACTCCACTCCACCCCCCACCGCCGGCGGAGACGTCACCCGCCAGTCGCGGCGCGGGTGGGACGCGACGTGGACGCCTGGGTTCCCCACGGCCCCAGCGAGGAGCCGGCGTCCCCGGAGTCCCACGCTACGTGGGGACCGCAGTCTCCGTCCCCTGGCCAGCACCGTCGCGCGGCCGACCTCAGCCACTGTCCCCTTCCAAGCCCCCCACTCGGGGCCTCCGCTCTGGAGGGCGGGGCCTGGGATCTCTCGGACCCCGGGAGGGGACAGAGGGAATTGGAAAAGGGGCCACCTCCCCCATTCCGCGTCCCCTGGCGGCTCTGGGGAAGGGCGCCCCTCCTCCCCACACACAACTTCTCCATAACCCCAGCCCGGGATTCCGGGGAAAAAAGGGCTGCAGAGGAACCTCTGCCGCTACAGTCCTTCAGTCCTGTGAACGCAACTAAGTCCCGACGTGCCCGGGATTCCCTTACCACCCTGGTGACCTGCTCCACCCTCCGCTTTGGCTCTCCCTAGACCCTCCGACCCGCTCTCCCTTCGAGGTTTGGGGGCGACGGCTCGGGACGTCCAGACTCAACTCTCGGCCAGAGTTAGAGACTCGAGAATTGCGTTTGGACAATCAAGAGCCGCGGCCCGGGGCGGGGGAGGGAGGCACACGGGAGGTATGGGGGAATGGAGACACCACGCGGCATGCATACATGTACACACACACACACACACACACACACACACACACACACACACACACACACAGGATGGGGCCCCTATCGGGGAGGGGTTGTGCGCGTGTAGGTGGGGGGCACAAGGGGCCGAATGTCTGGAGTGGGAAGCGGGCAGAAGTCTCCTCCAGGACTTCCCAGTAAAGGAAGGGGACCGGGAGGGAAGAGAAGAGGAAGGGGCAGAGCGATCCCCATTGAGGGCAGGGGATGAGAGGGATACGGGGGAAAAGAGACCGTGATGGGCGTCTTGTCTCCTCCAGCTTGAACTGGGGCTCCCGGACTTCGGCTGCAACTGCCAGGGGGTGGCCTCTTTCTGGGACAAGGCAGCAGTGGGTCCCCTCGCCCCCTCCCCCAGTTCCCCCCTACTTCCCTGTCCTCTCCTTCAGTCCGTGGCCAGTCCTTATGTGGGCTCCAGAGTCGATTAGCGCGGACCCCCTCCCCTTCCTCCTCCTCCCCCCAGCCCCCTCCCTCCCTTCTGCTCTCCTCCAGCCCCTTTCATCGGCTGGCCCATTCCCCTAATCCTGGCCCCCTCCCCTAATCCCCCCCATCCGACCCCCGGCCGGCTGCAGCTATTGTAAGGTGGAGAGAAAGGGGAGGGGGGGGACTCAGAGAAAGGAGAGGGGTGGGGGAGGGCCACCTGTTCCAAGACCCCCTCCCAAGGCTAGACTGGATACTAGGATGGGGCCATGAACAAATCACCCTTGGGGACCATAAGGACCCAGGGAATTGGGGGAGGGGACTGGGGCTGCAGGATCAGTGGAAGGGGGTGGGGCAGAGACCCCCTCCCTCCAAAAGACCCAGAGTGTCACGCACACACAGTGACACACACTCTCTCCTCTCATACCCGGCGGCGGGGGTTGCCCTGGGAGACCAGGCAGTGAAAGGGAACAATCCTTCGCGAAAGGGAAAGGAGGGGGAGGTGGCGAAGGGTCTGAGGACTTGGACACAAGAAGAACCGGAGGTGGCAGGGAAGAGGATTTGGAATTTATTAGGGTCACAAGCACCCCTGCCTCCCATATTCAGCATTCCTGAGCCATACACTGCCACCCCTTTTGTAGCCTGGGAACTCAGAGTCCTCATCAGCAGGAGGCCCGGCAGAGTGGTGGGATAGTGAGCAGAGTCCGGGGTCCTTGAGGCAGTTACATGAAAAGACCTCCTGGGAGGGGCAGAAACATTTGGACAGATGTATAGGTGGAGACAAATGGGCTGGGGGGGAGGCATCCACTTCTGTCCTTGGCCTATGGGAACTTCTGCCCTTCCCTCAGTGGCTCCAGACTCCCCTCATTTGCTTTCTGGGTTCCACTTCTCTGCCCTCTTCCTCCCCCGATGGCCTCATACCAGTGACTTCCACTGATGCCCCTGTGATGTATCCACTGTCTTCAGATGCCAAGAACGCGACCACATCTGCCACATCTACGGGAATGGTGGGGAGAGGGCAGAATCCTACTCACTCTCACAGACCCAAAGTAGCCTCCTACCAGAATCATCCCTCCCCCAACCACCAATCCTGGTGAGACCCTCTCAGATACCACAAACTTCGGGATTTCTTCATTCAGGCCCCCTCTGCACTCAGTGCTCACCCTCAGGGTCCCCCATATGTCCCACTGGGATCATTCCAGTCACCTGTAAGGAAACACTCGTGTGAGTGAAGGTTTTTTTCATGTTTTTTTTTTTTTTTTGTAGACTGAGTCTGTGACTTTTTTTGGTCTTCATTCCTTGTACACTTGCTGAATATGCCCCCCACTGGGCCCAGCATCCTCTCTCTGAAGCCCAGAGAGGTTGGCTCTCTGAATGATTCTGCCCTCCACCCACCGTCTCCTACCTTGTCCAGTACTTTCTGTGGCACTTTCTGCGTCATGGGTGTTTTAATGAACCCTGGGAGGACAGAGTTACAGCGGATCCCATGTCTGTGGAAAGGAGAGTGGCTGCTGACTCCAGAGAGGACTGAACACTGACCCTCCCTCAGACCTTCCACATGGCCCCAGGTGTCTGACCAACCGTCCAAGCTCCCGGGCTGCAGTCTGGGTCAGCCCAACCACTCCAGCCTTGGATGCTGCGTAGTTTGTCTGTCCCACGTTCCCCACCTTTGGGTGAGCCAGAGATTGGGGTTAAGTTGGGAGTCCCAAGGAGGGGCTCTTCTCTCTGTGCCCACTTGGCTGGCTGACCTCGTCCCAACTCAACCTGACCTTCCCTACGATGCTACTGATGTTGATGATGGAGCCAGGACAGCCACTGGACACCAGGGCTTGGGCTGCAGCCTGAGTGACTAGAAAGATGCCCTGGGCGTGGGGAGAGAAAGTAACAAGGCATAAAGGATCAGCAGGGGTGACACTCCTCCAACTCCCTCCCCAGGCTAGAGGGCCCAGAAGTCATGGGTTCAGAGATCACCACCTTGAGGTTGACAGCTATGACTTTGTCCCAGTCATCCTCAGACATGTGGAGCAGAAACTCATCCCTGGTGATGCCCGCACAGGACACAACGACAGATGGCGGGCGAGAAAAGCAGGCCTATGAAAGAGGTAGGTTACACACCAAAAAACCTTGTAGAGCCAAGGGCACTGGAGGCAACGTTAGGGCTTTAAAGGGGGCGACATCGTCCGGCTTTTTCACCTGCACTTGATCCAGCAGGCGCCTGACGGCCCCGGCCTCGGACACGTCAGCCTGGAAGGCTGCGTGGGCCCCGCGGGGTGCCCCCTCGTGGCTCCCCGGCCCTCCCAGCAGCCGCACCGTCTCCCGTGCCGCTGCCCCGTCCAGGTCGCAAGCGGCCACAGTGGCCCCCTCAGCGGCCAGGCGCACACCTACTGCTCGGCCGATGCCGCTACCAGCACCTGAGATGGGAGAGAACACGCGGGAGGGGGGGGAGGGAGAAGTGGGCAGGGGTCAGAGGTCAACAGGGCGCAAAGTTAGTAAAATTCGGACCACAGGCCACATTGGTTATAAAGAGTCCGAGGGCGCGCCCCGACGTCACTCTAGCACACCAACCCACCCTGGGAGAGGACAGGCCCCCCACCCCAACCTGTGACCAGAGCCAGAGCGAAGCGAAGCCGGAGCTGAGATGCCATGGCGGGCGGCGAGTGGGCGGGCCCCGCAGCACTGAGCCAATCCGAGCGCAGAGGGGGCGCGGCGAGAGCAAAGCCGGGCCAATCGAAGACCCGCCAGCGTTAGGCCACTGGCGGCCACCCGCGCAGGCAGACCTCCAACCGCGGGGGCGTGGCCAGACACCAAAGCTTGGGGGCCAGTGGAGCCGGGAGAAGCGGGGGCCCCCATTCCCCCCAAAAAAGACAAAGACTGCGCGTGGAGCGGAAGATCCAAGGATTTTATTTCCGGTCACCACCCCTCCTCCATTCAAACAGTGATATAAAAGAATACAAACAAAAGAAAAATCAGGCCATGAGAGTAGCAACTAGCCCCCCTCCCCCCCAATCACTCCCAAATCAGGACACACGATTGATGTTTATCCCCGACTTCTGCTACCCACTTCAGGGCTCTGGTCTTCCCTGGAGTTTCCACCAACCGGTGGGAGAGAGGGAGGTGGACCCTGGAGAAGCCAGTGTGTGGCAGCCTGGTCCTCTGTGAATAGGTGGGGTGGGGGATATGGGGTAGGCTGCCATGACTCCTCTCTCTTCCAGCCTTCTTCATGGCCCCACTTAGTCCCCAAACCCAACAACATGGTCAGCACATGCCCAACACTATGGTCCCTCTGGGCTGTCATTCTCACCTCTGCAGCCCCTGTAAGACTGCCAAATCTTGATAGCTTTCAAGACAAAGTCGCCACCTCCCTAGGATACAACTCCCTCCTTTGGCAGATGTCCCAGGCCAGGGCCCCCAACTTCCACAGACCCCTGACCTGGAGGGTTTAGAGGCTAGAGGTTTGGGGCTGGGGTGGGGCTGGTTTACCCCACCTCTCACTCAAGGTGGGCAATCAGCACCATCATGACAACTCCCCCCAGC